CCTAGAAAATCATTTTCCCACCAAAAAGGTGGAAAAATGATTTCCCCAAAAAAATGGAAAACAGGCGCGTGGAGGAGTTGCAAGGAAAAGATTTGGATGGGAAAATATGGCACATCAAACAAGTCAAAACCAAGGAAAAGGAAATTATTTTCCAAGTTTCAAGGAAAAGATGGCCGATCAAACATGGCCTATTAACCCAGAAAGCAAAACCAAACTTCTGATTGCCGTCGATGGCCGTCCCAAGTTCTGTCAACCGCCACCGGAAGGCTACTTTGGGAATGTCATTGCATGGTCGAGTGCACAGAGCAAGGCACGAGACTTAACGAGGAAAACTATTGATTTTGCTGTAAGAATAGTGCAGAATGCTATCAAAGAAGTTACGGAAGATTATATAAGAACAGCAATAGATCATCATGAGTTAACAAGAAAAGGGCTCGTTCTTGAAAATTCACTATGGATCACTAAGGGGACTAGGCTTCCTTTTTATGAAGCAAATTTTGGATGGGGAGAGCCAATGCAGGTTGGTCCGGCTTCACTTGTGGACAATCTTGCTATCACCCTTTTGCAAGGGAAAGATAGTGAGAACATAGCTGTGTCATTGAGCCTTCCAGCTTCACAAATGGAAGTATTCCAAGTGCTCATCCAACCAGAAGGATTTTAATAAACTGGGGAGTCCAATTTATATTTAGCTATAATTCCCTTTTTAAGATAACTTCTCGTAAACACTTATACTTCGCGGTTTGTAGTGTGAACATTAAGGCTCTGTTTGATGAGCCTCTTTTTCCCAGGAAAATGGAAAAGATTNGCTCTGTTTGATGAGCCTCCTTTTTCTAGGAAAATGGAAAAGATTTTCCTCTTTCTCACAAAGTTGTTGTTTGATGGTGAAAATTAACCTTGGAATTCATTTTACCGCCGCCCTTTCACGCGCCTGATTTTCCCTGAAATCCTTGCTTTTATTTTCCTTGGATTTGGGCAGTTTTTTATTTTCCAACTTTTGGGTTTTTATGTTTTTTTGATTTTTTTTTTCAATGGAAACAAATGTCATAGTCAATGGTAAATTTTTTTTTCACTTTAATAGACAATTTTCAGGTAAAACAAAGTCAAACGAACACTAAACTTTGATTAAAAAAATGATTTTTTAATAAATAATTTTTTATCTTTTACTTTTTGGCAATGGAAACAAAATTTATAACCAATTGTGGAAAAAATTATCACTTTAATAGACACTTTCCATGTCAAATAAAGCCAAACGAATAGAAAATTTAAAAATTTTCCGGGTGAAACATTATGCCAATCAAACACACTTGAAATCATTTTCCCTGCAAAACATTTTCTAAACAAATCTTTTCCCAGTAAAACATTTTCTTTCCACCCATTTTCCACCCTTGCAATCAAACGCATCCTAAGTTCCAAAGGTTGGAAGAACAAACTTGATTTAAATCGTTGGGTTAGTTCATGTATCTTTCGAGACATTCATGTGTTGTATTATGACATACATGTATTCTAGCTAGTTAATGATTACATGTATTCATGTACTTGTTATATACATGAATCGTACTAGGGAAAGTGTTTGCGTGAAAACTTATCTTGTAAGTGGTATCATAAATAGGTTCTATGAGCGGGAAAAGAAGGATGGCGAACAACTTTCTTCCTATTCCTCGACTCAATAGAGACAATTTGGTAATTGGTGTACTCGTATGAAGACTTGCCTTGAAAGTGAAGATTTGTGGGACTCGATAGAAAAATGTCATGAGCAGCGAAAAAGAAGAGAGATTGTTAGTATCGTGAGTCCAAAGAAACTTGCAAAAAACAACCTTCCAGTTGGTTCTTGGAGTTCTTCCCCAACGGGAAATGCGAGGATAAAGTATCATTACATCTGTAAACATACAGCTGAATTCAACCAAGGACTAACACTAAATCAAGCTCAAATGAACATTTATATTTATGTATGAGCTTGAAATGCAAAAATTACAAAATATCAAAACCTCACTTGGAACCATACCTAACCTCTATGGACACTTGTTTAGGCGAGACTTCTTCGGCGTGGATGAGGGGCGAGACTTCTTCGATGTGGATGAGGGGCTTGGGGTCTCCTTAAATGCAGATGGGCAAAGACCATTAACTGTGCATATACCACAACGAGGCCTGAGTGGAGTGCATACAGTCTGCCCGAACCCCACCTATGTACCAAATTCAGCAATATTTTATGAAACGAGAAAATGAAATTCAGCCTAATCACACTATAATGTTCAATATAAATGTAACCACACTGCGAGTAAAGTCATTGCTCGAACAGGAAAGTAGGTTAAGATATTTATGTGGTCAATTTCATCTATAATATAGTTTAAAACCTTCCAAAGATTTTCTGCAACAATACAAGCAGAAAATGGATCCACGAGCCTTCCTATTGTCAAATTTTATTACTTGCTAGACCAAAATACCCTAAATCAAGAAAAAACCAATGTGTAAATCGAGAGAAAAAAACCAGTATACTTTGAAAAGCATATTTCTATTTGTACTTCAGATGTAAATAGCTGCCAGCATTTTTCAGAAAATGCAGTGGCATTATATACTATAGATTAATAGTCGGGTTGAGGAATATAAAGAAAATTGATGCAACAGTATATTCAAAAGTGTTTTCCTGACGAAAAACACAGAGAACATATTGCTGCACTCCACAAATAGTGTTGTAGACATACCAGAAGAGGATTGATGGGCACCCATTCCTCCTTAGGAAGCCATAGTTGCAAGGACTCTCTAGTCTCTTCGGGAGTTGAAGTTCTCTAACAAAGACCAATAAAGTTTGTTAATGATCCAATACTATTCCTCTGCCGTATTTCGCATTTATCATCATTTGTTCTAATAAGAAAAAAGGTATTACCTGCTTAGTGCCGGAACGTGAAACCCATCCAAGCCGATTACAGATGCGGTGCACATGAGTATCTACACATATTCCTTGAACATTATTCCATCCTACATTCATGACCTAAAAAACAGCAAATTACTTAATAGAAGTACAGAGTTAGAAGCAAGTATGAGTAACAGATTCTTTCTCTAACCAGATGAGCCATTTTGGGACCAATCCCTGGAAGCAGAAGCAACTCCTCCAACGTACCAGGAATGTCTCCATCATACTTTGAGAGACAAATTTTTGCAATTTTTTTCAAGTTGCTCGCTTTTCTTGTGTAAAATCCTACCTGTTGAGAACAAAAGATGAAGTTTGATACATATATGCCTAAAAAGCTGTGGCTGATATATTTAACTGTTTGTTTGGACCAAATTTTCAAATTCATTTGTATCAGCTTTCCAACTTCTCCAGATCAAGTAGATTGCAATGTTCAGCTATACACTGACAGAGAAAGAGGGCATACTGGGTATAGTAAGTTCTTAATGGTAACTTCATCCGATTGGTCAATGGCTTCTGCAGTAAGAAGACCATTCTGAAGAAGCCGCTGAATAGCTCCTGCAAAACCAAAAACTCAATATATATCCATATTCAAAACCAAATACGAACTATCAACCAAAAGTACTTGTCACATCTTATCTGGATAAATGGTGCAAATTACAAATGCCCACAATATATACACATCAAAGTAAACAGAAGAAAAGAACCTTCAATCTTAGATCTACATCCCTATCTAACAGAACTGAATATGAAATTCTGCAAATGTGCAGAGAAGCTAATGAAATTGCAATGTCATCTCCAGTAATATTATTAATACTTCATGTGCAAACCAACATCATTGAAAGTCAGTACTGACATCAGATTTGCTCCAGTTATATTTCCTGCTTGATCCTCTAAGCTGAATACCAAAAAGGACTGGATAACAGCGATTGGTTACATTCTTTTGGTTCAAGACCATCACATGGATAGTAGAAGGCAGTCAATGAGAAACTTCTAAACAGGGCATAGAGAAACCTACTAAACTAAAAGACAAGAAAGGTAGGCTAAAAGCACGTAAAAGGAAATTTAATTGCACATTGTGGCAAAAAAAATAAATTTGACAGCATGTGCAGAACACCACCAATGAAGATATACGATAAATGAATCAAGAAATTGATTCCTTAATGACACTGACTTGAAAAAAGAAAAAAGGCACTTGCCATGAGTAACGTGGTCCTTTGTTTGGCTTGACAAGAGTGAAGATACCAGAACAGCGAATCTTCTTTCCTGAAAGAGAAACATAAATACTTCTCAAGCCAATTCTTAGACACCATACTTTACCCACGAACCAAAATCACCTAAGGTATAAAGTATTACTATATCATGGGCACATGCTCCCACAACGAGGGTTTGGTGTGTAGGCAAGGTGGCGTAGGAAGCTCGTAAATGAAATTCACAATAAGCAATTTATGAGACTTGATAAAAAGGGAGAAGAAAGGGGAGAGAATATAAAGAATATAGGGGGAGAAAATATGAGTTTTTCAATAATCAAGTCTATCTATCATAATGCATAATAAACTTATTATTTATATGTAGTTTAAACAAATCTCATCTAAGCAGAAAAATAAAGAAATAATAATTTAAATCAAATTAGAAAACTATNTTCTTTCTAGTATAAATATTGGGCTCATGATATCAAAGAAATGTGCAACTCAACCACAAAAATATCAACCAAACCTATATAATGAGGAGCACAAGGAACTAGCACGGTAGACTAGCTTGCTGAAGATACCAACAAATGAACTATTGAGACAAAGATGGGCTGTCAAGAACGTAGAGGAGGTAGGATGGGAGGATGAATTTCATGTGATTGATTAAGAAACTCTTTCTTAACATGAGTAAGATAGCATGAATTTATATTTGTATATAAATTATGTTATATTTGTTTAATCAAGGATGATCTTTAACCACGAGTCAGTGGTGGCTCTAAATTCAGCAACACTTAACATTAAAAAAAAAATCTATGGGGTGGTTGACGATAGGGAAGGTTAAAACTTAAAATTGCAATAGTAATCCATGACAGCTATGGAGTTGGCATTCAGAGGACAACCAAACACATTAATGATTGCATAATCATGCAAAAGCTGGCAGTGATTTTCAAAAATAAAGATATTAACAATTAACACCATGATATAAGACTTAATAATTTGACTTTTTATGCCCAAAACAAACAAGAGAATTACCTTAGGAGGAAGAGAACTGCCAGCTTTCTCACACCCCATTGAGTCAACTGGTGCACCCTCAGAAGACCTCATTTTGCGAATTTCTTGCAGGACCTTTTCCCAGTTGGGAGGTGGTTGTTGTGCTGTATCGTACAACATGCAATATACAAATTTTTCAACAGCTCTTGTTCATAAGTTAAAGAATTCATGTATTGTGCAAAAACAATGATGACAATAAGAAGAATAAGTTTATAAATGTTCTTTCTCACATTTCACCACATTCAAAGAGAAACAGCAAGTTCTATAACAAAATAACCTACTTAAACGGGAATAACTGCTGTCCTTTCCAAATGCAAAATCTTCAATTTCAGGAGGGCTGCAAAGCTGCATTATGTAAACTGATAGTTATGCAACAGTTCCAGTCTTTTGGAAACAACTTTTGTATTTAATTTGAGTATAACAATATGCCAAAATGATTGATAAATTATAAAGTTTAATACATGGAAAAAGAGTCGAAACTAGTCAACCGCCTATTAACACTAACTCAAGGTAGGAGGAAAGCTGCTATATAGCTAGTGTAAACAAATGCAAATTAAACAGATAGTGACCTACAAATATTTAAAGCTCACACAATATGCAAGGAAGATATATGACATGAGAAAAGTATTTAATTAGCGTACTATCTTGACCAATAGGCCCATATGTTCAGACATACAAAATGAAACTACTAGTTTATTCGTCAACTTTTTGAGCCGGCTTTTTCAAGGAGGAGTAATCGTATGAAAGGGAAAAACAACTTGGAAATTTCCAACTGTGCTTGATCAAGAATTGAGTTTTACGTCATAAACGTTTTCGCAATAAAGATCGAGGCCACAAATTCTGGAAAATGCAAAATTGCCCTGATTTCTGTAAAAGCTTAAACACCTTCATTAATTAAAATAGCAAATAAATATTAGCTTTGTTTTGAAACTTAGACAAGTATCAACAGCTTGTCTACACGCAAGACCAGAAGTAAGAATTCAATAAAGTTTTGCAGCATAATGCTTTTTAACTTCACTGAAAATACTTGAAGAGATAATTCAGACCCTTGTAAAGTGCTTTCCATCACATGATACAACTCCAACTTACAAGTGTGATGCCCATGACACATTTACATTGCAGAATCTGCAGTCGAGTCGTGATCTAAATATCTAATTATCTTTCAACCTTCCACTTCAAATTCCAATTAATCTTCTCAAGAAATGCTTAATTCTAGCAACCAAAGACCGCAAAGAAGCCTTTTGTACAGTTTTGCATGCTCTTCATGCCATCATAACCAAATTATATCCCTAAAATTGAACACCTACCATTGTTGGGATCCATTAGTTCAGGAACATACTTTAATTCAACCAGTAGAAAATTAAAGACATTATTCCTCGTTTATTAGCACAGACGCAATCAATAAAGCAAGAGATGGAAAAGAACAGGTCCCCTTAATGGGTAATACTAGGGTGGCGAAAACATCACTAGCAGGAGACAGAATTGATCTAAAATAGCATCCTCCACAATCATAATTCAGCAACAAAAATAACAGTAATAGTATGTGCCCCCTTAAAGGGCAAATGACTAGGATGGTAATAATGTCATCAAGAGTCCACGCATTTCTCACAAATACCGCACCCATTCCCACAATGAAAGATCACAAAAAAATGTACAAGTTGAATAAACAAAACAGTAACAACACAAATACTAAAGTACAGAGTAAAGCCCAACACAAACAGCCACGAATTTACCAACGCAAAGATAAAGCTGCATGTACTTCAGAATTTTTTTAAAAAGAATTTATCTTGTTCCTTAATATTATTAATCTCACCTTTTGTTCACGAGTTTCTGCTTCAACCGCTGTAGGTGTGATTTCAAGAGTTTTTACGGGTCTCTTTTTCCTAACAAAGACGCGAAGATTTGGTGCAGTACCGGTACTTGAACTTTCAGGAGCTGAAACGATTAGCACAATTTAAATTTTGGGTCTTTTTATCAATGAAGGGCATAAACAAAATCTGACCTGGGTTTTCTGGCTCCGGTGATGAAGGTTGTATCCCCAGTTTGGACGTTGAAATTCGTGTTGAAGGCATTTTGTTGAATGAAAATGAGACGACGAATCGGGGTGAAGCTACGGGAGTGCTTCTGATAAGACCGAACATTATTTTGTAGAGGGAGGGGAGTTTAGTTGTTCACAACATTTTTTATATTTTATTTAAGTTAGAATTATAGTAGTAACAGTTATTTTAGGAGAAAATAGCACAATTCGTCTTTCATGCTTTTAAGTTAACAATTAATTTTTACCGCACATTTTATGAAACACACAACTTTTATCAACTTTTCAATTACACATTCACCAACTTTCAAATAAACCAAACAAGAACTTAAAAAGAGACGTTGAGGTCCAGAGAATAGTAGAATAGCACCACGTTATATTCTACTTGACACATGGACATTACCATTAACTCCAATCAATGGAATCCATAATAGTGATGAATGGTTAAAAGAGTGATCATTTGGAAAAATATTGAAATTCAATGACAGAGTAGTAACACAACGTGAAGTTTAGTGATCGCTTAAATATTAGATTGAGAAACTTCATACTCGAAAAAATACAACTGACAGTAAGGTCGTACAATTTTCAACAAATTCTTAGCTAAACTCAATCATAACAGCAACATGCTTGGAGCATTAGAAATGCATGTCCTATTTCTGGTTCAATTTCCTTTTTTAAGCGCTCCTCAAGGACCTCAACAATCTAGTCAACCTTCTTTCCCCTGAACTTGCTGGTCGGGATTCGGCGCAAGACACTGGCATCCAGCTTGTGGTAATTATGCTGAAGCTGTCCGAGGACATTGTTCACAAAGCCATCAACCTCATCTTCATATCTTTCATACAAAACGGGCAACGTATGGGCAGCAACAAAACCTTGAAAGAAAGAATTTCCAAATCTCTAAGTACAACAGAATTAAAGCTTGACATGGAATAAATAGAGAATATAACGTTATCTAGCACCAATCTACATGGCAGTGGAGCCCACATTGACTTGTCCAATGCATTAGGAGCTTGTTGGGGAATGATTTTTTTAATAATCATTTTCAAACACATCATATTGAAGTCATAACTTTTTCTTACTTTTTAATCACAAATTCTCCAAAAAGTTATTTTTATTGAAAAAATCTCTCTCGAACAAGCTCTAAAAACTTCGTTGGACAAGTCTAAATGGGCCCCAATGTCATCCAAACAGTGCTAAGCACCACTGGTGCTAACTAGCATTACTCTAAGAAGCCAGACAGATTCTTTTTACTGAAACAATATTACGTTGCTTTCTCACTCTACACATGCTCCATTTTTCCTGTGTTCTCTACTTACCAAGTCTAGTGCAAAAAATCGTAGAACATGGTTAAATAATTGAGAGTTATGGTGGTAGGAGCAGCAAATATTAACATAAACTCTTCACATTTGTGGAAAAAAAGTGTACATTCAACCTGCTGTGTGCTCATGCTTCCAATTTGCTATGTAATTTTCTGTGTTTCAAAGTCTTAAAAGTTGAATTAATAAAATTCTATATTTTTTGGCTTTATCTCATATTATCCAAATCAACCTACCCATGGTACTGAAATTGTGAGATCTAAGATGAAACTTTGATTCACTCGAAGGATCTGGTGGTTTGTATGGGACCTGACAAAACATGTAGACCATGGTCCATACTTGACAGTCTTCACTCAGAGCATCATGCAGTGCAGGACTACACTGGATATGTGCCAAATGTACATATGCTCAAACAAGCAAGTTCACATAGATCAAGGAAGTTTCTATAATGCATGTAGATACAAGCCTTAGTGCTGGGAAAGATTTCTGTTCCAATCTTAAATGCAGCCCGGAGAAGAAGTAATGATGGTATCTGGGGAGTATCCATATTGAGTGCAAGTTCGGCCACATAATTTAGATGCAGGATTTAAGTTGATGAAGTAGCATTGAAGCAAAAATAAATAAATGGGATATTTTCCTTGAAGATAAGGTCCACACTACAAGGGTTTATTGTATTTTTTTTCCCTAACTTTTATCTGAACAGAATTAACCCAAAACATTGGTGAAGCATGGAAAATTTTCTCAATTAAAGTTCTCATCCCCTCATGTATGATATCAAAGACAAGCAAAACATTCGATAATTACCGACAAATCATGGGATCAATGTGTCCAATATGCTCTAGTAGCTACTAAAATTAGAATGTCATAGGATGTCTTACCGACATAAAGAACAGTCAAAAGGTTGAACCAACTTCCAATAATAGCAGCAGCCCACAAGCTTGCTACAACCTGCAAGTATTTTTAATATGTCAAACACAACTTAGACATTTTTCGATTTGTTCCCATTTAACAATATGTTCCCACTGAAACAGTCCAGCACAGAATAAGAAAAAAGCAGTAATTAATAATATAATATACGATGGGATTATTGAACAAAATAGGAAACTTTATCAGCAAATAATTAAGAATAAGAACACTTAAATATAAAAATGGAGACAGTTTGTAGTACAATGTAAGAAAAAAATACTTAGAGCCTGTTTGTCATCCATTTTTGTTGTTAAAATGGTGTAATGAATAGTATTTTTTGGAGAATGTGTGGTTGAAATTTAAAGTTACTTTATTGGTTTGTGTGTAGAATATTTTATTGGGTAAATGTGTGGTGGAGAATCTTACTGTAGCAAACAATGTTTAGAAATAATGGATGACAAACAGGGGCTTAAGAACAAGAAAACATGAACCCCTAAGAGATATTAGGACCACAGGTTTCTTCTTCAAGCATGACACATAAAAGTCATGAAGGAAAGTGACTTTGATTTAATGTTGAGATACACCAGAAAACAAGGAAGAAAACGATCCTAATTTAAGAGTTTTCTATTTGAAAATGTTGAAACAATTGTCTCATTCTGAAAACATTTGCGATATGCTTCGCGGGGTAATGTATCAATCATTTATTTTCATGTTTTAAGCTGGAGAAGAAAAAAAATTCAATGAAACTAACATTTTTTTAACTTGTGATGAGAAAAAGTAGTCTGTATTTCATTCTTCCTCTTATGTACGTTCACTACTGAAAACAGAAATGGAGAAGTAAAATCAGAACAGCCGTAAAAGAATCATTGTTTTATGATGATTGCCCATTGAGTCCCTAGAAATCCTCATTTTTAATGTTTAAACCATTTGGTAGCTTGTTGGTGTCTTAAGAATTAAAAAAATGTGAGAAGAAGAAAAGATGGGATCAAATTATGTGAAAATATATTCACACAAAATAATGAATAAGGTTACAATATCTGAGGGGGACATAAACAAAATAAAAATGCAGCATTGATGTTAAGAGAAAAATACCACTAGAAATTGCTTCATATTTCCCTCGGAGGAAACATCTTGCAAGAAGCTTAAACCACGATTCACCTCGGCTCCAATCAAATTGGCAATGTTAACAAAAACCTCCACAGGCACAACAAGACGAGGGATATTGGATGGAGATCTGTAAACATAGATATTACAGGAATTAATACGACTCAAACTGAATGCATCCTGACACTACCAAAAGCAGAACATTATCTCTATTTAAAATTACCTGTTTAACATGCCTGACACATTTTTCCAAACCAATTGAGCAAGCATAACCATAACCAACACAAAGCATAGAATGGTAAGAAAATTGTAGTTAAGCCATTCAAAAAGCACCCAAGTTACAGTAGCAGCAGTTAAGACGCTGGCCGAAATCTTCTTGTTCCTCCATAATAGCACATCAGCAGCTAAACATTCAAGTGAATATACATAAAATAAGGATGACTTCACTCATATGAAACTTGGTAAAAGATGCAAGGAGATCATACGTTTTCCACCACCCAAAATATGGTGAACCGGCTTTTGCCGTCCAAACAATCTATTGAACTGAGAATTCATGGATTTTAAATTCTCCTCCTCAAAAAAGGACTCAGATTTGTGCTTTGAAGCACCATCAGATATTGTTTCCATGATATTGTGCATAAGACCCTCGGCTGTTATTCCCTCAGGCATCTTTCCTGTAATTCCAAATTAATTAAGCACTTGTAGAAAAACAGTCTCCAAGCTCTTGGACTCTTAAGTTGTAGCCAAAAAGTTGTCAAGTTCAAAAAATTGATGAAGTGGAAAAAAGAGATTGATAAAAGAATATCATATAAACTTGAAAGAAAAATTGAATAAATGAAAGTGAGAAGACTAGTGAGTAACTACACACGAAGCATATTAGCCTTGTAATGTTGGTTCTAACCCGTCCAAAAACTCCAGCCCCTCGACAAAGGCCGTTACAAAGACCCTTGGGAAATGAATTTTACCCAAATTTCTCATTAAATTGAAGCTTCATGAAATAGAAAAAAATCGCATCGCAAACTAAAACATGTGACCTTTAGCATAGATGATAAATGAATCATGCCAGCAAATTAAAGCATGGAGTTTATAAATATACTTCAAAGGCAAGGCCCTACCATTTCAAAACCCTTCCAACTATTTAGGCTAAAGAGCAAAAGACACATGCAAAAACAGTTCAACCATTCTGAGTTAGTATTCAAGATTGCTCAAAGACAATTACACGCTCATTCAAACATAGGAACAATCACAAAATCACAGCAAAAAAAAGTAAAATCTGTGTAACCAAATGAACCTCAAAGACAGTGAAAGCTTTACAAAGGATTGATAAAGATGAACATTTCATCTATTTTCATGAAAGCCTCAACGAAAAAGCTGAAGTCACTTAACTAATTGAGATAATAAAAAAAATACAAGTAATCATGCTAAGTACTCGCGCGTATAGATTTTCACTAGTAAACGCCCATGACCACAGACCACTGTAAATCCAGATACTATAAAGGTCACGAAAAATCAACTTAAAGAAAGATCAAAATCGAATACAATTAATGATGAATAGTAAATCATATAGCTGAAATCGCCAAATATTGGGTTAATTATTTCAATGGTGATTGAACTATGTTACGAGTTACTACTTACTAACTGAACTTCAAAGCGAAAAGAAAAGAATAACAAATAAATGACTTCATCTTCCCCGGACACCCCAGCCTCACCC